GATTCTGCTGAAAGACAATCAGTGTCTTCATGTAGACACAGTTATATCAGATTTATAAACGGTGATGTCCCCACAACAGAGGTAAATATTTTCACCCATAAACTGTATAAGCCTCTATGTGAAGCTCAGACTCGTCACATGGGTCATCTCACTGAGATCATCTCTTCTTCTGTCTCTTCTTATGTTTCTAACATCATAGTTTTCTCTTTATTTGTAGAATCAGACGCGTTCAGGTCTGTTGCATGGTGTCACCCTGGCCTCTCTTATATGAATTTGCTCTTAGACTGATAAACTTTGGCTGATAACCTTCTTTGTTCGAGTGAATGCTGATGTTATGATGAGTGAGGGCAGATTAGGAAAAAAAGCCTTGAGTATGCTGATCAGACTCCAGTAAAGCTGTAGACAGAGTGGCTGACAGTACAATCTTACCTTGAAAGCTTCTTTCTTCTTGTTGATGATCTCGCGGTTGATACTGGGCGTGGCCAACAGCAGAGCGTCTCTCTTGACTTCAGGAAGGCCGCTCTCTAAGGCTTTGTGTAAGAGTGGGAAGTCATACTGGTGGAGCTGAAAGCTGGACACCAGGAAGACCTGCGGAGTCTTGATGCTTGATCCTGTGAGTCCTGCATCAGAGAAGGAAAGAAACGTGCACGTGCGTGTCAGTGAGGGGCAGCCAATCAGCAGACAGTTGGCCTAAAGGAAGGAGATTAATGGAGGATGAACTAAAGCAGCATCCTGCAGCCACACAGTCATAAAACTAACAGAGTTTAACTGTCCAACCGTGGCCTGAACTCTCCAACAACTGCATCCCCATCATTAAATTCAGAAACTGGTCTCACTCATATAAATGATCTCATGTGACACTCACCTTGAATGCAGACTTGTCTGATTTGTGAAAGAGTCTTCTCCACCTTAAACTCTCTCTGACTTCTTTCTTCAGCTCGTAAATCGTTGTCAATCTTTGAGCGAACAAAGTAGAACTTCTTCTCCATCTTCTGAATCTCCTGAGCGAGTTTCACGTCATTTTCTCTGAAGCGAACGGCTGAGATGATGATGAAGAAGTCAAACTTCTCAAATCCAACAAGCTCCAGGTACTTATCAGCTGGAAACTTGGTGGTGCCGATTCCAGGGAGATCCCAAAAAGTAACATTGGGATAGTTTGGATGGGGGTACGGTGTGGCCTCTGAGGTGGTTTCTGTAACACCAGTAGGAGCAGCTCCCTCATCATCATCGGACAGCTCTCTGAGAGCGTTAACAAAGGTGGATTTACCAGAACCAGATTCTCCTGTGATGGCGATATTTAGTTGGGTGTTGTTGTCCTGTAGGGACTCCATGGTCTTTCCAACATCCGATGGTCTGTCGGTGTGTTGCAGAGCTGTCTTCATTTCTCTTGTAACTGATTCACGCTCAGGCTGAAGACTCACGCTGGTCCCTGACGGCTGTAGAGAAGAAACTACCCGTGTTACATTGTTGTTTTCTACTTATGAAAAACAGTCTAAGAAACTGGGAACACGGAACCTGAGACATGGAAACATCGACAGAGGAAAGCAGAGGATGAAGAACGGGATGATGAAGTGATGAACCAGCAATAAACAAAGTAGACATAGGGCTTAAATACACAAGCGGGACACTGAGAGGATGGGGGACAGGTGGGAACACAGACAGAAATCTGACATAACGAGCCGCAGAGA